CGCGAAGTGTCAGCCTAGAAGCTTCGGTGCTCGGCCTAGAAGCTTCGGTGCTCGGCCGGCCATAAGCTTAGTCTCGAAAGCCTATCGGACGGTTCCCTCGCACGCGGTGCACGTGGGTCTTATCGGACGGTCACGCGGTGGAGCAGTAACCCAGACACGTGTCGTGTAGTGATTCGATATATCAAATAAGTCGATAGCGTATAATAACGGACGATGCGCGGCCGCGAGTTTGGCGCGCAGCCAGAAGTCGTTGCGCAGTCGTGCCGTTACACTTGATGCTCCGCCTTGTTCTAGTGGTAAGCTTGGCAATGCTGCGGTCCATCACTCAAAACTGGATTTGTAGAAAACATTCACAAGCTATTGCATGCGATCACGCGTTATGGTCATCATAAAAGAGGTATATTTCATACAGCAAAACTAGACGTGAGGAAGCTGCTCCATAGCCATTTATCTCCTTGCTTGTGATTGGAATCAATTGATTGTTTGAAGCATATAGCAGTGTAGGCAGGCTCGGGGAGTTTGTGGCCGATTGTAATCAAACAGGCTGATGCTTTGGATGCTTAATTAGACATTTTCTCCTTTGAATCAGAGAAAAGGATCAATTACTGGAAGCACATGGCCAGTAGACCATTCTTACTTGGCTGTTTCTGCATCCTGCGGATTGATCAGTCCTCATGATCAGGCTCAGCTTGAACAGCCTTATTTTTTTGCAAGTCAATACGGTATTACATTGGTAAGTGCAACTCATGCATATGGGTCTTTATATGGGAATCTCTATGATGAGCTTATACAAAGCAGAAGTATCCCCACTTGAACAAGCTAGCTTCAGTCTCCCCCACTCTTGTTATGCAGGTGGTCTTTGCTGTGTGCCTCTTTTCCAGTGGTGGGACCATCCTATTTCTTACAACAAGGACTGCGGAAAAGTCCTTGGAACGTCTTGCCAATGATTACCAGCAAAGCATCATGGATAGGGCACTAGACAGCATCAGCAACCTCTTTGCCTCAGAAGCTGCGTGTATTCAGTCCTTGGCTGGATACATTGAGCTTGCCGAAAGTGACTACAGACTTCCCAACACTACTGAACGAGTTAGAGACCTGCTGGTAAGCTGCACACTCATGGGATTCCTTTTAGTCAAGCTGAACCTTCTCCATCGTCCTATCGTATGGGCTTTCGAGAGTAAATACGTAGTATGAAGCGAAGGGTATCAACCAACTTTGGTGTCAGCTCCTCATGTCAAAATTATTGGCATCACATCGAGTGCACATGCTTGGCTGATGACTGGACGATTTCAGAAAGACCTTCCGGCAGGCTGTTCCAAGCTTACAGTAATCCAGACCCAGGACCTGCTTCAGAGGAAAACGAAGGGATGCCATGAAAGGTACGTACGGGGGGGGATCAGAATCCACAATTATCTGAACTTCATTAGGAAAGTCCGGTGCAATCTTTCTCGTGCAGGTCTATCAAGCTACCTTGAGCACACTTAGCAGTGGATGCGAACTCGACGGGGTAGGCGTGTTCTTCGACAGTGGAAGGTATGAATGAGTCAAAACCAGCTAGTTAATTCAAGGCTTTCATCTGCTCTTCAAAGGTTGAATATGGCTGGAATTGCATCAAGTCAAGGGTGACGCCATCATTCGTGAGAATTGCAGCTCTTGAGAATGGATTTGGACTCTTTCTTTAGGGCTTTCTTTGCTCATCATTCCAGACTCTTGCTTCTCTTGCTGGCCACCGTTAGCATAGCATAGTTTAAAGAGGGCGTGGGCGGACGCGTCCGCGATCGGCGACCGATAACCAGGGATGCGGCTGTTTCTGTCGCCGCGAGCCGCACGTGCTAAATTTTGGCAGCGACATTGAGGGTGACTTTCAGCGCATAGAGGACGCCGCGAGAGCCACGTGGGTTCCTTCAACCACAACGCCCTCTTTAAAGCCTCCAACCTGAAGGGCACTGGTCGATATAAGGCGCCCCTCATATCGTCAGTCGTTCAAGGTGCAAGGAGAATCTAACACAGAGTTGATACAAATTCAATGTCGATCCAGTTCCGCCTAGGATCAACTTAATTTGCTGGAAAATGCTGAAATTTCTCGATTGCTCTATTTAGGCGGCTCTCATCACAGACAACAAGGCATACCCCATCTGCCATCACAGCTTTGCTAGCTAGCGCCTCCATCAAGATTGCCCTTCAATACTAAAGTTCAATAAACAGATGCCCCGAACTGATTATTTTGTTTTCAGGTACTTCTACCTTGAAAGGCCAACAAACGCGAGTGATCCCTTGGCCAACGGAACCCTCACCATACGGTTTAATAGGGACTTGACAGCCCCTCTTGGAGGCGCGACGCTGCCTCAGTTTATCAGCGTAAGTGACTGGTACACAAGGCTTTCGCGTTTCTGACTCTAACCAATATGTCTTTGGCCATAAAGCTATTCGCTTTCTCCTGGTCATTCTGTTGCGACTCTTTCCGCTCGGCTCCGTATTTCTGAGAGCCGGTGGTGACGCATTCCCATCAGACTTCATTACTGTAAGCCGACGCTTATACTCAAGTGCATGCCCAGTGCTGCAGAGACAGCGTGCTTGAACGTATGTCATACAAACTAACGTGCCTGTTCCCACAGGCACAGACTGCGCCAGTATTTTTCGCGATTCACTTCTTCCTTTTGCTCGAACTTCGGAAGATTCTTTCAAGCATATCTTCTCAGTTGCCTCATGAGATCAATTATCTCTTACCAGATGGTGAATGCTACTACGGGTGAACCCCTCAGCGGTGATCGTAGCCGGGTCACTCTTGGGGCCCCACAAGAGTACCGCAATCGGTCCTGGTACCAGGATGCGATGACCTCAGCGAACGGCAAGTCCTTGGAGATCCGGGTCGGGCCAAACGGACGGCCTGCGCTTGTGGCCGCTCAACGGGCCATTCTTTCCACCTCTGTCGAAGCAAGGATCTTACGCCGTTGTTCGAGCCTCACTCGACCTTACAAGAATCGACGACTTCGTCGATTCCTTGGATCTTAAAAATGGGACGATATTTTTCACGAATGGGACTTACCTTGTTGCGGACTCCGCCGATGACTATCACCCTCCAAAGGCGTCGAGTTATGAACAAGGCCAGCTTCTCCAGCCGAGTAACTCAAGCAGTAAGGTTATTCGACAAGCAAGCCTGCACAGGTTTTCAGATGACTCCAGCAATGAGATATCCATTGATGGAGTGGACTACTTTGTCGGAGCAGACAGCAAAACAATCGAGAGAACGACCATCTACGAAACCTTGCTTCTCCCCAAACGCTCATTATTGGGACCCATCCAGCACAGCGGAAGCCGCATATGGAAGACAGCGACGGGTATCGGTGTAGCTATTGCCTTTGTCGGCTGCCTCGTCGTGTACCTGCTGACAAATCCCATCACGAAGGAGATGCGCTTGAAAGCGGAGCTCCTGAGGAATATGGAATTAAGGCAGCACGCAGAAATGAGGGAAGAGATCAAGACCAAGTTTATGGCGACCATCAGGTGAGTTCGTATTGGTAAATGACACCCGTGTCAACGTAGTGCTCAATCGGAGAGCCAGACAGTAATCCATTTCAGAAAGGAGCGTCACTGCTTCCATTGGCACTGATGATTAGCTACGTACAAAGGGTGCAATCTCTTGTCGTGCCCGAAAGCAGAGTGTATTTTATATCTGGCGCAGAATAGTATCACTGACGTTAATACAAGGTTTTGGCGTTTCAATCAGAGCTCCGTGCTTCTATTGAACCAGTTTATCTTAGAGTGTCGCTCCAATCCTGTCCCAAGTGAATGCAGAGTCGTCACGTCTAAGTACAGGTTCCGGCGTTTGCTCATCTCACAAAGTACTCAGAGGGCTGAACAACATGAGCTGCTGATACGACTTCGTAACATGTTTTGCAGCCATGATCTGCGCAGTCCGTCGGCTGCAATCATCGGCATCCTAGACGCTCTTTTGGAAGGCCCCTCGAGTGTGGAGCATGCAAAGCAGCTTCAACAAGCGAAAGAGTGCGCCGAACACCAGCTCAGCCTTCTGAATGATGTATTGGACATGAATAAGGTGAGTACGACATTGATCAGAATGGTGGAAGGCAAAGTGAAAACGAGTGCAGTGCTATTGCTGCTAATGCTAGATCTAGCTGGTTCGGTAGGGCAGAGGCTCTTGCAGACTGCCTTCAAAGGCATCTATGTAACGGCACGACTGCGCACCGACTTCTGGCTGCGCGCCAAACTCGCGGCCGCGCATCGTCCGTTATTATACGCTATCGACTTATTTGATATATCGAATCACTACACGACACGTGTCTGGGTTACTGCTCCACCGCGTGACCGTCCGATAAGACCCACGTGCACCGCGTGCGAGGGAACCGTCCGATAAGCTTTCGAGACTAAGCTTCTGGCCGGCCGAGCACCGAAGCTTCTAGGCCGAGCACTTCGGTTGACACTT